GTCTAAGTTTTATGTTTCGTATTTGTATTTGTAACTGTACTATGTGCATATGTTTTATGTGTTAAGTATATGTGATTGTGTTTATTCTATGTGTGCTTATTTACTTTAATTTTCTTTGTTCCTCTTCCTTTTTACTAATGACAAAGGGGGAGAAGGATTGGTCTCTAACATTTCCCTGTGCAGAAAAGTTCTATCTCTCTTTTATTTAGGGGGAGCTCGAACTTAGGGGGAGAGTGTAGAAGAAACCATATATCAAGGCAAACTTTCAAGAATCGGTTGTCATCATCAAAAAGAGGGAGATTGTAGAAGCAAGCTTCAAAGCCTTTAATGTTTTGATGAGGACAACTAAGAACAAGCTTTGTAAGTAAGATATTCCATGCAAAAAGTAAGAGAAGCAAGCAATCAAACAAGGACATCAAAGATCAAGATAGTACCCTCGCGTATGACTCTATGAATCAAGCTTCGATTACAAGCATCAAGTGATGATGATGATCAAAGCAACGGTATAACAAATTTTACTTAAGAATATTTATACAAGTGTTCATAAAATCACTTTTCACTTCACAATTATCACTAACCTTTTAAAACCTTTTTAAAATACTCACTCTTTTTAAAATTAATTATATTTTGAAAAACCTTCAGTGTTAATCGATTAACACATTGGTTAACCGATTAACACATTTCAAAAATTAATTACTTTGTGATTTTATAACAGTATTAACCGATTAACCTATAGGTTAATCGATTAACACATGTAAATTTTGAATATTTTTTGAACGTTGTAAGGTGTTAACCGATTAACCTATTTGGTTAACCGATTAACACTGAAGCAACAAGCAAAAATGGCAGTTGTTCATGGAAAATTGCATTGATTACCATTTCTTTTACTTGCTATTTTTGCTGCATCAAAAACACACCCTTTTGAACAGTTTTTTTATGCATATAAATTGTTCTTAATTTCAAAATTATAATTCACCTTCAAGAAACAAAATCTCTCAAATTACTCACATTCTTCAATCTTAAATTTTCATTCTAAGTGTTCAAAACCATTTTTGAAAGAAGCCATTGATTTAACTTTCACACTCTCACAACCTTCTTTCACAAGAACACTTGTATATTTATCTGAGTAACATTTGTTTCGAGAAGAAGATCAATCGTGAAGATTGATTACAACTTTCTATCAAATATTTCTCAAAGAACATTTTTTGTATTACCTTGTTATCCAGGACTGTTGGAAACAAGTGAAGTGTCTTGAAGAGGATTGTTCTTCATTCACTTGGATTACCTATAGGTTTAGATAGTAAGCATCACCTTTTGGTGTGATTAGGATTTGCAATAATTCTGAACTATAGTGAAATCCCTTTCGTGTTGAAGGGGGAGTGGAGTACTCTCGGAGTGTGAGAGGAACCACTATAAATTTCCTGTGTCTCTTTTTCTTTCCTGCCTTTACTTTCAAGTCATTATCTCATAACCGAAAAAAAAAGAACCAAGGAACCATACAAGATTGCAAATAAATTTTCAGAACCTAATTCACCCCCTCCCCCTCTTAGGCACAATTACAACTTACAGGAGATAGTATCCTGGTTTGGAGGCAAAAGTGGTTACGGGACAACACTGTGATAGTTAATCCATGGCCTCATATTCGAGAAGTGGAAAATCTCAAAGTAGCAGATCTGATGAGTAATAATGGCAAACAATGGAATACTAACTTAATTCAGTCCCTTCTAGAGGAAGGAGAAGCTTTAAAGATTCTTAATACTCCACTCTTTGAAGCTGTAACTTTGGATAAAATAGTCTGGAGTTTGGAAAAGAATGGCAATTTTTCTGTTCGTAGTGCATATCGGTACTGTATTAGAGATGCCATAGATACTACCCACCAGAGAGAAGACAAGAATTGGCAGCTAATTTGGAATATGAAGATTCCTCCCAAAATCAAAAACTTTATGTGGCGATTATGCAGGAACTGTGTGCCTACTAGAATGCGTCTTCTGGAGAAAGGAGTTGTTTGCCCTTCAAGTTGTGCTATCTGTGTGGAAGAAGAAGAGAGCTACTATCACTTATTCTTTCAGTACCCGAAGAGCACATAATGTTGGGAGAAAGTTGACATTTGGCCTATGGTGCAGCAGACCCAGTATAATGATGGAAACTTTGCTTCTCTAATATTCTTTCTTTTGCAGGTTCTAACCCAAGAGTATTGACCAGTGTTCTCTACCGTCCTTTGGAGTATTTGGAAGTGTAGAAATAACCAGGCTTGGAATCTTATTGAAGATTCTTCGACTTCTATCTGTATTCGTGCTTCTCAATTGTTGGCAAGTTGGAGGAATGCTCAAATCCAAGGATCTAACAGATCAAACCAAGCCCAAATACCAAGTGTAGTACAGTGGAACAAACCCCCGACAAAATTCTTTAAATGCAATATAAATGCTTCCTTTGTTGATAACAAGGTGGATCTAGGAATGTGTATAAGAGATAACGATGGTTTGTTTGTCATAGCTCGAACTGAGTGGTTTGATCCCAGTACCGAGGTTGATGTAGGAGAAGCCTTAGGCCTCCTGACAGTTTTAAAATGGGTGAATGAACTGGAGTTTGAGAATGTGATCTTCGAGATGGATTCTAAAAGCATGGTGGATAATGTGAATTTTCAGCCTCTTAACGATTCGGACTTTGGCACCATTACCAAGGAATGCCAACGCCTTCTCTCTTCTTTATTTAGGAACTCTCATGTCGAGTTCGTTAGGAGACAAGCGAATGAGGTTGCTCATGCCTTGACACGAGTGACTCTGTCTCTTACTAGTGTCCACATTTTTAATGATGTACCGGTGTATTAATACTTTTATTATAAATGAAATGAATTAAGTTTTTTTCCGTAAAAAAAAAAAAACTTAACATAATCAATAATTTTCTTAAAATACTAAAAAATTTACAAATATATTTAAAAGCCGTTTAAAAATTTTATAACCAAATTTGATGATTTAATGTGTATACCCAATCAAGTAATTGACCTACCTCAACAAACCCAATCTCATAACTAGCTTGACCCTTTCCAAAATTCTCCCATTAATATTCCTTTCCCCACTTATCTTCATTTGCATATAATTCACCATCAACATATTCGTACTTAAAGGGAATATGTATCTTTAAGAAAGTGGGCCCGGGTAAGCCCACATCAATGGCTTGTTACGAGGGGTCCATCATGTCTGCTAACCCGTAACCAGCTGGATGTGGTCCACTTTCTTCCACAGGTCATTGCTATCACCGTTTTCCACGTGGCAACTTTCTACTCGAACTTTCACCTTCTCCAACGACACGGCTCGGTCATGTTAACATTGTTTTGTTTTGTGGTCTTTTCGCGTCGAAAAGCCGTTATTCCCGCCACCTTATGCTTCTTACGTTTCAACTGCAAGTTTGAGGTAAAATCAATTCTCATTAAATTATTCAAATAAATATCTTAATTTTTGAACATTTTTTTTTGACAATATTCTAGTAAAAAGTGATGATTTATTTAATATATACATCGCTCAATATTTATGTTGAAATTTATTTGTATTTAAGTATATATGCGCACGTTTACACTAAAATTTAAGACACATTATTAATTTGTAAAATCAATAAAATTTTTGTAATCATATTTTAAAATTTAAGAGGTGGTATGAAAAAATAAAGAATTTTTTTCCCCAATATTAGTGACCAGAATTCAATTAAGTAAAATGTCGTATATTGTATTTAATATTCGTGCACAGCACAATTGTCAATTAAATTGCTTTTACGTGTTATCTATCAAAAAATATATATTTAGTTTATTTGAAACAAAATTGCATTTTATCTATCTAATTTTGGTTTTTTAATCTGAAAAAACATCTTATCACAAAAACACAATAGAATGATCATTAACTTACTAGATAAAAAATCCACTAATTTTACTCTATGTCTATTTTTTTTTTGAAAAAAAATTACTATATTATATCTATTAAGTTTGGAGTTTGAATATTATAAAAAAAAAGGTTTTATGAGCTAAATTATCGATTATTTAACCATTATTTTTGTCCCAAATAAATATTTAGAGTTTTAAAAATTCAATCAATAACATAGTTGACTAAATTATCCTTGTGAAAATCAATTTTAGCTAAAGAAACGTTTTTATTTTAAAAAATATCCAGTTTGGCTTTCGGTGCTGCTACTTCAACTAGTTATTTTCAGAAAAAAAAAAATTGATCTGAAAATAAGAAACCGTCCAAAATTGTTATTTTAGAAAATCAATTTTATTTTTCTTTAAGAAAAAAAATGAATTAAAGAAAAGGAAAGGAGTGGGAGAAAGGTCACCTTCCTATGTTTTGCTTCAAAATTCCAACTCTATACTTCCACATTCACACATGTATGTTTATCTACAAAATCTCAATAAATCCAATTAAATTTCCCATTATACCCTCATCATTTCACCTAAATTACACTACCTACCACAAACAAGTCTTGTTCCATACCTCACATGTACATGTGTATATATACAAATGATTCATATATGCATTGACTCATATTTCTTCATGTAAATTCTGAACATAACATACATAAACAACCTTGTAAAGTTTTGGTTTTTGTTCCTTTGAGAATACTAAAGGTAATAACATCTTATATTTCATATAATGTCTTGATTTTGTTATTAATATTTCAGTTTCAGTCACACACCCTTATGTGTTTGTTGAATGTTCTCAATGAGTTTCTTTTCTTACTGATGCATTTTTTATTCAATCAAATTCTGTCTTCATTGTTTTTTTTTCCAACGAGTTTGCTCATGGTTTTAAATTGCGGCATGTAGTATAAACTATTTTGAGGTATATGCAAGAGTATCACAATTGCAATTTCGACGGTGTCCGTTGCATTTTTATGCAGTATAATTGTTAGCAGCGTAACAGCAGCAATCGCGGCCATGATTTAAAACTATGAGTATGATCACTGATATCAGTTGAATTTCAGAAGAAAAGTTTTTGTGTTATGTTGTTTTGTTGATGTGTTGTAAGAGGAAAGAGAATCTATTAAGAAGCAATGTTAAGCAATCAAACCAGGTGGAATATTTTAAGTTGCGTTTTCTTTTTTTTTTTGGTTGCTGTGATGAGTTATAAAGTTTGATTCATTTCTCTTTTACTTTTTGTTTTCTTTTCTGTTTCTTCTTACAGAATTTTTAGCTATTTTCTTTTTATTGAATTGAAATAAAAGTTTCATAACACTTGTGAAGTTATGAATGGTTTTGACTTTGTTGTTTGAGGCCTGTTTCTGTAAAAGTGAAAAATTGGCTCTTGATTTTGTTATTGGAAATTGAAACCCCAAACAAATATTGTAAGACTGTTTGAGAGAGTTTATGGAAACAACTCATAATATGTTCATAAGCTACTTTCAGCTTATTTCAATAAGTTCTTCATGGTATAGCTTATGAATGAAACTTATAGTTTATAAGAAAATAGTTTAACTTTATTGAATAATTTTTTTATAGAAATGGTTTATACATAAACGCTTATGTTATAAGTATTTAATTAGTTTTTTTTATACAAACAGGTCTTAAATGTATAGAGTATTCTAATTCTTTTCTTCTATGTTTGGTACTTGTTTTCCACTTTAGAAGAATTTCTTTGTGAAAATTGGCTCTGGATATTGTTACTGAAATTTGAGACCTTAATCAAACATTAAATGTCTAGTGTATTATGATTTTTTCTGTTCTTGTTTTCCTAGTAAGGGCCATTTTGATTGACTTTTTGAACTTATCTACTGAAATAAGAAATTGCGAAACTGTTTTAGAGAGCTTATAGTCGCATTCATAAGTTGTTTTTGACACATTCTCCTTAACTCTCCAGGATAACTTACTTCTAGTATATATGAAAAATTGTTATAGAAATTCCAAACAAGGCCTTGGATGAATTTCAAACTTGATTTTCTGATTATTTCCTTGATAAAATTTAGGTGATTATAGTGTTGAACTCAATACCTGCAACGGCTATTGAAGATATAAACATGAATAATGCAACAGAAGAAGCTAGTGAAAGTTACACACCTCATAAGGATAACTATACTCAACAAGCATCACCAAGGAGTACACTAAGTCCAAGAAGTACTCAAAGCGATTCAATTGATTTAGCTATTGATGGTGTTGTGGATACTTCAATTGAACAATTGTATACCAATGTTTATGAAATGAGAAGCTCTGATCAATCACCTTCAAGGGCTAGTTTTTACTCATATGGCGAAGAATCAAGGATTGATTCTGAATTGGGTCATCTTGTCGGAAATATTGTTGACTTGGAGATTACGAAAGAGGTTGTAACAGAAAATAAGGAGGATTCCATTTCCAATGTCAATGCTATTGAGGAAGTTATTGTTTCATCAAGCACAGGGATCGGTGAAGGATCGGCTAAGGCATCTGGGAAGAGTCGAAGTTTGCGTAACAGGAATGAGAAGGGAACTAGAAAAGGAAATGGATTTTACAATATGACGAGGAAGCATAGGAGGCTTGGTTTGAAAGACAGTGTTGTTGACGAGTTAGATAATCCTGATCTCGGACCGTTCTTATTGAAGATAACGAGAGATATGATATCTTCGGGTGAGAATCCAAACAAGGCTCTTGGTTTGGCTCATAGAGCCTTGAAATCATTTGAGATATGTAATGCAGATGGTAAACCAAGTTTGGAGTTGGTGATGTGTCTTCATGTTTTGGCAACAATTTACTGTAATTTAGGACAATACAACGAGGCTATACCGATTCTCGAGCGTTCGATCGATGTTCCTGTTTTAGAGGACGGTCAAGATCATGCACTAGCTAAGTTTGCAGGGTGTATGCAATTAGGTGATACTTATGCAATGATGGGAAATATTGAGAATTCTCTACTGTTTTATACAGCAGGACTTGAGATTCAAGGGCAGGTCTTGGGGGAAACTGATCCTCGATTCGGCGAGACATGTCGGTATGTAGCCGAGGCACATGTTCAAGCACTGCAATTTGATGAGGCTAGGAGGCTATGTCAAATGGCTCTTGATATTCACAAGGGAAACGGTTTGCCTGCTTCATTTGAAGAAGCAGCCGATCGGAGACTAATGGGACTAATCTGTGACTCAAAAGGTGATTATGAAAGTGCTCTAGAGCATTATGTTTTGGCAAGTATGGTTATGGCGGAAAATCGCCAGGAACTAGATGTTGCGTCTGTTGATTGCAGCATAGGCGATGCTTATTTGTCATTGGCGCGATATGATGAAGCCGTTTTTTCTTATCAGAAAGCATTAACCGTTTTCAAATCAACCAAAGGAGAGAATCATCCAACAGTTGCCTCTGTTTTTGTAAGGTTAGCCGATTTATACAACAAAATAGGAAAGTTCAAGGAATCAAAAACTTATTGTGAAAACGCGCTTCGAATTTTCGGGAAGAAAAATCCAGGAATTCCTCTAGAAGAGATTGCTAATGGTTTGATAGATGTTGCTGCAATTTATCAATCTATGAATGATTTGGAAAAAGGATTGAAGTTACTCAAAAAAGCATTGAAAATATATAACAATGTTCCTGGTCAACAAAGTACTACTGCTGGAATTGAGGCACAAATGGGAGTTACGTATTATATGTTAGGGAATTATTCTGATTCTTATAACATTTTTAAGAGTTCTGTTGCAAAATTTCGCGCTAGCGGAGAGAAGAAATCCGCATTGTTTGGAATTGCATTGAATCAAATGGGTCTTGCTTGTGTCCAAAGGTATGCTATAAATGAAGCTGCAGATTTGTTTGAAGAGGCTAGAACTATATTAGAAAAAGAGTATGGCCCTTATCATCAAGATACATTAGGAGTCTATAGCAATCTTGCAGGCACCTATGATGCAATGGGAAGGTAACATGTTCATTGACCCTTAAACATTCAGGTTAATGAATTACTAGAATTTTTAGGTTTTAATTGCTAATATTTCTTGTTAATTTTTATGATTTGCAGAGTGGATGATGCCATTGAAATGCTGGAATATGTAGTTGGCATGAGAGAAGAGAAACTTGGAACGGCAAACCCTGATGTCGACGATGAGAAACGTAGGTTGGCCGAGTTGTTAAAAGAAGCAGGAAGAGCGAGAAACCGAAGGTCGAAAAGATCATTGGAAACACTTCTTGATTCAAACTCTCAGGTTATGAAAAACAATGGCATTAAGGTCCTATGAAGTTGAGGCTGTATATAAAAAAACAATAACAAAGTGTGAATTGTTTCCACTTTCAATAATTTTTCCTTGTTTCAGATTGTTCACAAAAGTTACTTTTTATGTCTATTTACTCTATAGTGTACATGAAATTTCTATATATATTCATACTATTCTTTGTATAATTGAATGTATAAATGGTTGACATACATTTACAATTTTCTAAATAAATATATGAATGTTATAACATCACTTTCTCTGCTGGTGCTTGGAAAACTCAGTTGCTTCTTACCACATTTGAGATGTAACCAATTTGTTATATAGTCAAGGATCTTATGAATATGACAATCTCTTTCTCTTTCTATGCTTACATTGTAATGCAGGATTAATAGTAAAAATTGATTAAGTACTAATTAACAAAACATAGATTTATCCTTCTGTTGATTAAGAAGTTCTCATTGTGCTTGGAACCAAAACTAAACAGAGAAAGAGATAAGCACAAAAAAGAATCCAATGCAAAACTTGTGGTTTAAGACATGTGTTTCCTTCTTTGACAATAAGCCAAAATATCCTTTTCCTTATCCATGTCTTCTACTTTTTCCTTTTCCATGCAAACTAGTACAGCTAGTAGTTGCAGAGAAAGAGGATCCAATGTTGAGGAAGATCAAAGCACTTCAATAAAAAGGGTCATTCTGATCATCTCATTCACCTTGCCTTCTTGCTTATAATAATTCTCAAACAACTCATCACCATAGCTCACACCTCCTTTGCTTGAATCATTAGGCAACGAGGAGTGCTACCCCCGTTAGAAATCAACCTAAATGTGATAATCTAAAAGTAAGATTGAAGGAATACTGCATGTGTAAGTATTGCAGGCAGCATTTCAATTTTATTCCATCTTTTAGACTGGTTTCTAATGGGTGGTAGCGTTCCTGACTGCCTCAATATTGCTTCTTTACTTTTTTTCTTCTGTAAATTTTCAGAAGCTAACAAGTTGTGAATTTGGTGAGGTTTACAAGGTAAGAAGTTAACATAGAAATTATACCAATTGTTGTATATTATTCTTTGAATAATTGAATATATAACTGGTTGAAATAGAATTCTCTAAGTAAATAGAGATGTTGAAACTTCACTTGTTCTGTTGGTGCTTGGAAAATTCAGTTGATTCTAAACACATTTGAGATGTAACCATTTGGTTATGAAGATGACAAGCAAGAATATGACAATTAATAACTCCTTTTTTTTTTAATGCTTACAAATCAAGTTTTTGGATTTAGATAATTATGATATCACTATCAATTTAAAGTTAAATGTTACTCCCTCCATCTCAAATATAAACAATGTTAATAGTCTTAAATGTAAGTAAAAATCACCTATATTTATTATATTCAATGTTATTATTTCAAATATATTCTACTTTTTTTCTTTTCTTTTCACGTTTCTATGTTTTTATTGATTTTCAATGCAAAAAGTAGGGACAAAATTATAAAGAGTGTAAGATTTAAATATATTTAGACATTTTTCTTAAAGAGAAAGGTTTTTGTAAAGTTGTTTATATATGAGATCGGAGAGAGTAGGAATATGTAAATGAAGATATGACCAACACTGTATGTTATGTATTGTAATTTATGAACAATAAATATTCATGGGTGTGTTTCAAAATGACAGTAAAAGTGGAAGTGAGTAAATGCCAATAAATGACAGTAAAATGGGTGTGTTGCGGAATGAACATAAGCAATGCATGAAAACAATGCAGCTTTTGGTTAAAATGTGTTGTTTCATCATGGTCGCAACCTTGTGAAACAACACATACATGACTTATAAATACTCCATTTCAGAATTCAGAAAGTCATATCACAAACTGAAAATCCTCTTACACAAATTCCAAACACTCTTCGCTACAAATCAAGTTTTTGTCGATCATGTGCAAATTCGATATAAGATTGAATTATCCAGAGTATTCCTGCGTTCTAACTCTAAGACATACAAGAGAGTGCTTTGAATAATTTTAAGGAAAGTGATATCATTCACGATTCAGTCTTGGATCCATTCAACTTTACCGATATTTCTAACAATCTTAAAAGTATTTAAATGACTTCCGACACTGCAATTTCAAGCATCAAAGTTATGAACCCGGACCTTGTCAAGTTGAATCGCTTTGATGGAACCAACTACGTTCGATGACAAGGTAAGATAACATTCCTACTGACCGTTCTGAAGGTTCACTATGTCTTAGATGCTGACTTACCACCAATTTCTAAACCAACAGAGTATGACCCTGATAAACTCAGGAAGAAGCATAAGAAACATAAAGAGGACGAATTGTTGTGATGTGAACATATCCTCAATACACTATCTAATCGTCTCTACGGCCTCTATACGGATACTCAGTCTCCAACAGAAATCTGGAAAGTACTCGATTTTAAATTCAAGGTCTGAGAGGAAGGTATGAAGAAGTTTTTAATTTCCAAACCCATTCTTTTTCAAGTGTACAAGTTACAGGTTCTCGTGAATAAAATAAAAGCTGTAAAAATAGACATTTCTGAGACCTTTCAAGTTGGTGCAGTCATTGCAAAATTACCACCTTCGTAAAAAGGCTATAGAAAGAAATTGTTGCACAGTTCTGAGGACTTCTCTCTAGAGAAAATCCAGAAATATCTTCGAATCAAGGAGGAATCGAAGAAAAGGGAGAAATCAAAATCCACTGGTCTTTCCAAAGCCAATGTTGTGACTGCCAAACGAAAAAAGAAACATGATGGCATGAAGAGTCATCTTGGACTTAAAAAGGAACGTAAAAAATTCAAAATTTCGGGCAGTACGAAAGGTCCGAAAAGCGGTTGTTTTGTATGTGGAAAACTCAGACACTATGCTCGAGATTGCAAGTACATCAAGTCAAAATAATGACATTAATACAGTTCATACAAATGAAGACATAATCACTATGATGAGCAAAATAGTGACAATCAAAGGAAAAGTGTGAGGATGGTGGTATGACACACGTGCTACAGTGCATGTCTCTTATGATAAACTGCTTTTAAAACCTATTATGAGGCAATTGATAGATAGGAAGTACAAATAGGAAATGAAGTATGATCTAAAGTTGTTGGAACCGGATTCGTCGAACTCAACTTCACTTTCAGAAAGAAAGTCACTCTTGTTAATGTGTGTCATGTCTGCGACATGACTAGGAATCTTGTTAGTGGGAATTTGTTGGGTAAATCAAGCATTAAACCGTTATATGAATCGGGTAAACTTATATTGACCCGTAATGGTGTATTTATAGAAAAAAGATATTCCGCTGAGGGAATGATCAAACTCTGTACTACCGACAATATTATTAATGAAATTTCTAATAATGCTTACATACTTGAGTATGTATCTTTATGTCATAATAGATTAACACATACCTGTATTAGTTCTATGAAGAGACTAATTAAATCTGATTTGATTTCATGCAATATAAATGATTTCGAAAAATATTAATTATGCGTTAAATCAAAGATGATTAAGAAACCTTTCAAAAGCGTTGAAAGAAATACAAATCTCCTCGATCTTGTACATTCAGATTTGTGTGAATTTAATGGCATGTTAACCCGTGGGGGAAATAGATATTTTATTACATTCATCGATGATTCTTCTAGGTACGCATATGCATATCTTTTAAGATATAAAGATGATGCTTTTAATGCCTTTAAACTTTACAAAGTAGAAGTAGAAAATTAATTAAATAAAAGAATCAAAGTCCTTAGGAATGATATGGGCGGTGAATACTTTTCTACATAATTTAATATGTTTTGTGAAGAACATGACATTATACATGAATGCTCTGCACCTTGTACACCATAATAAAATGGTGTAACCGAGAGAAAGAATCGAACATATCAAGAGAAGATGAATGACATGTTAATGAATTCCAAATTGTCATTTAATTTGTGGAGCGAGGCCTTACTAACCGCTTGCCACATAATTAACAGAATTCCTTTGAAGAAAACCAATATTTTCCCATGAGTTATGAAAAGGCAGAGTACCAAATTTCAGTTATTTTATACTATGGGGGTGTGTAGCCTACTATAAAAACATGGATCCTAAGAGAACTAAATTGGGTCCTCGAGGAATAAAATGTGCCTTTATAGGATATGCACCAAATAGTAAAGCATATAGACTTTTAAACTTAGAGTCTAATGTAATTGTTGAATTCCAGGATGTAAAATTCTTTGAAAACCTTATTACTAAGGATAAAGAATCTGAGTCTCTCGAAAACAAAGAATCTCGTGAGAAATATTTTTTTCAGAGTATCGAGATAAAACCCGAAAATATTTCTCGGATCATTGAAACACAACCCGAGCCTAGGATAAGCAAAAGAGTCCGAAAAACAAAGGATCTAAGACCAAACGGAATCGATTCTCAACTTATTTATTTTTATCTAGTTGAAGGAAACTATGAGAATTATGTTCAAAATATTCCCATTATTCTTCAAGTAGAAGACGATCCTAAAACTTACAAGGAAGCAGTGACTTCAAGGTACTCTTCCTTTTGGAAGGATTCTATCCAAGATGAAATAAACTCAATCACATTAAATCACACTTGGGAACTTGTTGATTTACCAAAGGAATCAAGGCCCATTGGATGCAATTGGGTGTTTAAAAAGAAGTATAATAGTGACGATACATTAAACACATATAAGGCAAGATTAATGTTCCAGACCGACCCAATGGCTAGGCACGGCCCAATCCACTTCTGCATCCAGAACGACCCAATAGCATAACTCCTGCAAGTTAAGTGCAAAGGAAAGCACTTTCTGTTCTTCCCCTCAGTCGAGGAGATTTAGCAAGCTGACCCCCAGTGTCGCTATTGCGAAAAAAGGTGCCGGGAATGACAGAAGAGTCGCCACCGTTCGTTATTTATCCCAATAAGAGAAAGGAAACGAGCAGAGAAAACCTAACGAAAACGGGAAAAGAAAGGTCATCGTAACCATATCTCGGGTTCGGGATTCGGTTACGCAAGAGGAAGGTGTTAGCACCCCT